CGCCCCGGCCACTCGCGGGGTTTCCCGGGGCGGTCGCGGGAGGCTTTTTAATTTTTAAAAATCGAACCTACTCTCTCTCGGTTTGCAAAGTAGGAGGAGGCGCGCACCGGAGGTGAGTCTGTCCCCGGGCTGCGGTTGGGACCTGTGCTTTCCACCCCGCCCCCCCCAAGTCTAGCACATTTTCAGATCATTTTTCCCAACCACATATTTTTTCCTGGTACTGTCTGATCCTTTTCTGACAGAAACTATTGCTGATGTCACTCAATGACCGGCCGAGCGCCGGTCATAGGCTCAGGGTGGGGAGGCGGCTAGAACCGGGATCAGGACGCCACCCTCCAGGGAGACCCGGGCGCCCCGACGCGGAACTTTCCTCCAGAGCCTGTGACCCGCTTGACTTGACCTTGGCGTGGCTGCATTTCAGTTTCTGAGAAAATACTCGAGGGCGACTGCGCAGGACTGATCTCTCTGGATCGTTGGCTCTTCTCAGGACGCCATCCAGGGTCCAGTTTCACCTGCCAGGAAGCTCCGAAGCCCGAGGACTACGCTCGTCTCCAACAGCCCGGGTCGCACCACGTAGCCAGGATGTGCAAGTACTGGAAACAGCCTGACTCCAAACACTGAGGGGGAAGACTTGGAGTAGGCAAACCCTAAGTCTTTAATTAAGGTACTTCAGGAGTTGGAGTTAACATTTTTATTTTAGATTTGCATTTTCTTAACATGAAAGTCAACAATGAAAACAATGTTATTTTATTATAAGAACAAAACAGACTTGCTAATTTTATGCCTAATTTCACCCAGATTACAAATGCAAAGTATATTACCAAACTCCAGGATACTGTGCATTTTGTGCACATGAAATAAACTCAACTTGCGAAATCAGAATGTATAACATTAAAGTATCTACAATCATTATAAATAGTGTAAAGTACATACCATATCTACAGAGTGGGAGGAGAGTATAAACAAGTGAAAATGAACTTCATACAGAATAGTTAGGATGTTTGTATGAACAATTTAAAATATTAACAAGGGTACTCAAATACAGAACCAACCCAAACATTTATTTTTTCTCTTTTTTCAAGAAAAACTGTTGTGCTTCTTCCCAGGCCTGCTGAGGAAATCTGTTAGCCAGTTCAAGATAGTCTTGGGAGCCCAGGCATTTCCCTGAGGGGGGAGAGGAAAAAGAGAGAAAAGTTAAATTTAAAAAGATTTAAATTCTTTAAACTTATTTTGATATCTGAGTGCAAAATGGAGATACTTCAAATAAACCATGATACATTTTAGATAAATAAGGTAATTGATCTGTGTATATCAATCTGTCTATAGCCTAGAAAATATATTTTAACCACAATCCAGTTGTGCTTCTAACATAATCAGGCATTAACCCCTATATAGGATATTATGGGAAAAAAGTTGCTTTTGGACTCCAGAATAATGATCAGGAACGTGGTGGTGCCTGTAGTCCCAGATACTCAGGAGGCTATGTGGGAGATGGTTGACCCCAGGAGTTTGAGGCTGCAGGTGCTGTGACTCGCCTCTGCACTCCAGGCTGGCAACACAGCAAGAGCTCCTGGCTCTTAAAAAAAGAAAAGGAAAAAAAAAAAAAAAAAGAATGGTGAGCAAAATAAAATGACAATCATACATTCTGTCCTTAAGATAGCCATGAAAGGGGAAATCTGCATGTTAAATAATGATATTTGTTTTCTGAAATAGTCTATTTAGTTTAAAACAAGTTTAGTTTAGGGATAGCTGAGACATTGTTCACATCTGGCATTCAGTTGCCTATCTAACAAAGCAGAGGGGGCACGTGATTAGGAGCCTGATGGGCCAGCCACACAGGCAAAGCAAACAGCTAACGCAGGAAGAATGCACATTGGAAAACCAGAGTGCTCCCTTGGCAATAAGAATGTGCTACTACCGGGGTCCCTTCTTTTTTTGAGTTGGAGTCTCACTCCATTGCCCAGGCTGGAGTGCAATGGCACCCTCATGGCCACCCCAGCGTCGACCTGCTGGGCTCTGGCGATCTTTCCGCCTCAGCCCTTCAAGTAGCGGGAACCATAAGTGTGCGCTACCATGCTCAGCTAATTTTTTGATTTATTGTAGAGACAAGGTCTCACCATGTTGCCCAGGTTGGTCTCGAACCCGCAGGCTCAGGCAATCCTCTCGCCTCCACCACCCAAAGTGCTGGGATTACAGGCTTAAGCCAGCCCACCTGGCCAGGAGCTGCTTTTATATTTACAGGTTTACCTGGGTAAGGAACTCAAAATGTCTTGAGATATTTTATGGAGATTTGATCTAAGCAAAAGGAGGACAGATGTCCAAAGCACAAAATGGCAACTTAATGAGGAATCATCATTAAAAAAGAAAAAATCAAGCATAATACCGTGATGACCCTCTCTGAGCAGTGCAGTGACGAATCCCCCATTTGCTGTCCTGTGGGTTAAACCTACTGTAGCTGAAGAAAGCATGAAAACCAGAGAGATGGGTTCCTTGGAAAAGAAAGAAGGGGAGACTTCTATAAGCCTCAGTCACCAAGAGGACAGAGGCAGCTCCCAGGACTGTGTCTCCCAGATATGCAAGCAAATGGTGACTCATCTTTGTGTTCAGCAGAAAGTGTAAAAAAAAGATGTTTATACTTCTTACTGGAAAAAAAAAAAGCTGTATAATTAAAAATAAATACATTAGAAGATGTTTCTAAGTATTTTAATACATTTAAAAATTGTAAATTGTTTTATAAGAAACAGTAACAAATTAGGCAGATTTCTCCCATGTAATTTTCCAATAGGTTTAAAAAAAAAAAAGCCTGTGACTGAGGCCGGGCAGAACTGAACTTGCAGGCTAGTTCTGGCTTAGACAAACGGTACTGACAATGATGTTGACTTGGACTTCTAAAAAGCTGCATAGCTTTCTGTTTAACTTTTCTGAGTACCTGAGTCAAATAAAACATGACATTTTTTCATGCTATTGTAATAGCTATAGTTATATTTTCTTCTATGTATTTTTCAACACCTGCCCACTGCAAACGCCTTTTCAGGGGGGCAGTGACAGACTGCAAGGTAACCTCCCTTCCAAGTAAGATTTCCTTGGTGGGTGCCCCAACGGGTCCTGCTGGGAAAGCACCTTTGAATGGCCACTTTATTTTTTATTTTTTTGTGAGTAAGCAGGATTTATTGGGAGGACAGAGAAGCTCCCACGGTGGGAGGGGACCCGAAGGGGTTGCCTTGAATGGTCAGTTTAAAGATCAAACTAATCGAAGAATTGGGAAACTCTAGATTAGGGTCTCATTAATCAGAGACGCTGTCACAACAGCCAGCTGAAGAGCAACGTGTACTTCTCAATTATAGTCTGGGTAGCAGAATATTTAAAAAGTAAAAATGTGATTTAAAATTCTAAATCTCCAGTTCTGACCATAGGAAACACCTCAGTAGGAACACTGTAGGGGAAAAAAGCTTTTGAATCTTTTGATCCCTGGATTTTGCTAATTTGATGGTTTTTACTACATGTAAAATAATAATAAATCTTTTTTTTTTTTTTTTTTTAAGTTGGAGTCTCACTCTGTTGCCCAGACTGGAGTGCAGTGGCTGCTCCCGGCCACTGCAGCCTCGACCTGCTGGGCTCTGGCGATCCTTCCACCTCAGCCTTCCAAGTAGCTGGAACTACAGGCGTGCGCTACCACGTCTGGCTAATTTTTTGATTTATCATAGAGATGAGATCTCGCCTGCCCAGGCGGGTCTTGAACCCGCAGGCTCAGGCAATCCACTCACCTCAGCCTCCCAAAGGCGCGGGATTACAGGCTGAGCCACCGAGCCCGACTTAAAATAATTATTTTTAATAAAAAGTTCAAGTACTTAAATTTGGGGAGAAAATATGGGCTACTACCATTGGTAACTTTATTCTGAACATGGATAGGGAACTAAATCTATGTTACTTCAACATTTATGTGAGAAATGTGGTCAACATGAACAATCTGATTATCTCCTGTATTACAAAGTGGCGCTTTACTCATTATTCACCATTTAACTTCTTGCATGAAATTACACCAAGATGTTTTGTGCTTTTCTTTTACTTCCAAGATTTCTCAGCATGTTCTGATGCACTTGTGTTTCATGACAAAATCGATTTCTTACTTACTGAAGTAGACTTGGTATCTGAATCTCAAATATTTTAGTTGATAAACTAAACTGATTTCTCCAACAGTTCCAGAAGAAAGGATGAGAAAGATGTCCACTTGACTCACAAACACATGACATTCAATTTCAGTGGAGACGTACCTTTGGGCTGGTTAGACTGGTTATCTGCCTGGCCTGGAGTCTGTGCAAAATCCTGTGTGAGAAGGAAAAAGTGTTTTTATCAATGCTGTGAACGGAGACTTTCACTAAGGGTGGCTTTAAACATCCCTCTGATTCATGCAACCACTTCTGCATGAATGATTTGTGCTCAAATATAAAAGCTACTGTGATGTTACCCAGGTTCTCATAAACTGAAACCAAACAGCAATGACTACATCTTGCTAAATACTACTGAGGCCAGGTTGTACCTACTTTTGAAACTACAACTTTATCTTATACCTAATACACTTAAACATTTAAGCCAAGTTTACTATCTTAAAATATCAACATACTTTAAATGTTTTAAAATATACGAACATGTATATCTATCCTGAATTGCACCCCACATCCTTAAAAAACTAAATTAATGGGCTGGGTGCGGTGGCTCAACCTGTAATCCCAGCACTTTGGGAGGCCAAGGTGAGAGGAGTGCCTGAGCCTGGGGGTTCGTGACCAACTTGGTGAGACCTCATCTCTACAATAAATCACAACAATTAGTCAGGCATGGTGGCCTGTGTATGTAGTTCCAGTTACTTGGAAAGCTGAGGCGGAAGGATCGCCTAAGCCCAGCAGGTCGAGGCTATGGTGACTGTGAACATGCCACTGCACTCCAACCTGGACAAAAGAGTGAGACTCCAACTCAAAAACAACAACAACAAAAGTAAATAAATAAAAAATTTAAAAGTACAAACACAAAAGCCCTTACGTAGTCTGTAGCAAAATCTTAACATCTGGTAATTTTATTTTAGATGGCAAGTGAAAAATGTAATGTATAATATGTAAATCTGCACAAACCTGTGACAAACTATCAGTGTCTATTTAATGTCATTTTCTAATGACTTAATAGTCTAACACGTGGAGACCTTGAATAACCATTTTATAAACTAAAATCCAATATATAGTAATTCCCTTGAACAAAATTATTTATAGAAAAAAAGATTTAACTCTGCTAGTCTAACTTGCTAACCCAAATAAGCAATATAAGAAACTTCTGTAGTATTTACAAAATTTGTGTGTTCAATATGGATTTTTTTGTAGTAGAGAAAGGTAGATTTAGAAGCACTTTGTAATCCATATCAGATGAACACAAGAAATATACACAATCTTTAGTTCCTGATATCTTGTGTATCTTTATAAGTTGTTTTCCAAGCAGTTGATAACATAAGGAACTAAGCTGGTACAGATGCAAAATTGTTTTGCTCAAATATCACTGTCCTTGTTGAGGCCTCTCTACTCATGCCATCGAAAGCTGCACGTCCTCTCCCTCAGTCCCTGGCTGCCTTTCCTGCCCTACTTTTCTCCACAGCACTTATCACCATCTGACACGCTCCTTGTTTCAGTATTTCTTTTGATTTGGTTTTTGTTTGACTCCTCCCATTTGATGAAAGCTCTGTGAAGGTAGGAATCTGCATGTTTTATTCGTGGCTGTGTTCCCGGTGCCTAGAGCAGGCCCAGCGTACCTTAGACTCTCAAGGGTTACCTGCTGAATAAAAGAATGAATAATCTGAATTTAAAAAGATCAAAGTCTTAAAATTCTCTGTAATGTATTTTCTATTTAATTTAACCCTAAGGCTACAAGAATATGTGAAGAATCCTGAGGGTTGATATGATGGTTATACACCATAAGATCTCTCTTTTTTTTTTTTGAGTTGGAGTCTCACTCTGTCGCCCAGGTTGAAATGCAGTGGCACGTTCACAGCCACCCCAGCGTCAACCTGCTGGGCTCCAGTGATCCTTCTGCCTCAGCATTGGAGTAGCCAGAACTACAGGCATGTGCTACTACGCCTGGCTAATTTTTTTTTTTTTTTAATTTATCGTAGAGGTGAAGTCTTGCCATGTTGCAGGCTGGTCATGAACCTGCGGGCTCAGGCAATCCTCCCCTTGACCTCCCAAAGTGCTGGGATTACAGGCTTCTTACTAAGATTTTAATTTAACTGTAGGACAGTTCTTTGGAAATCCATGCTTGTAGACCTCAATATCTGGACTTGAATTTTTTTTTCTAGAAAGTAGAACCCAGACTCAAATGAACAAGTAAGCTGAAAACAAAACTATTCTAAACACAACAGACCTAGTTGTATTTATTAACTAATTATCTAATGGAAGATAGTTTAGAACAGGTAAACTACTAAGTGTTACCTATGCTGAGGAAGGCATGGGGTACTCTAGCCATCCTCTGTAGTTCCCAGCTGCCGGGCACAATCACACCCTTCACCAGTGACAGAGGTATAGGAGTCTGAACATGGAACAATACTAAGACAGGGCTCTGCTTTCTGTTTCATCATTATAAAGACCAGAAAGCATCGTCTACTAATCACATGTGTATCATGGAGCAAAAACACATTGGTTTTACGGCAGAACATTTAAAAGAAAATAGCAGATTTTCAGCAAATAATGATCTATAAGTGACCAAAAGGAAAAAAAAATCAGGATTGGTTATTAGCAAATGTTAAAGAATAGTCAACTTGATTTTTCTATTGTCAGTTGACTGAGTCAATTTAGACGTGGAAATATTACTTGGCTATGGCACTAATTCTGATTCTAGTCCTATAGAATTTAATTGAATTAGGAAAATGTAAGGCTGTATTTAAAAGTTTTAGATTAAAAAGCAGAACATGTTTTTATTTTACACACACATACATATTTATATGAGAATCATATTTATTTAAAAACTTAAAAATAAATAAGTTTTAACTGATCTGCAGCTATTATCTATTTCCTATAGCTGGACTAAAAGCAAGATAAATGCAACAGTTAAAGACTTAAAGAAGTCTGGCAGTCTTTTAAAAACATTCCCTGAGTGTGGGCTACCATTTCATTAGCTGGAAAAACATTCTTTCCTTGAAATCTTCCAAGTAGAAATTGTATAACACTCAACTCCAGCTCTATTCATGATGTTTTAGAAACTATCCTAATATTTTAGAAATTAATTTTTAAGCACAAAAATATGTAAACTTTTTAAAAGGTAGCATGGAATGCAAAAATAAACAGCTGGCTCACTTTTACTTTTCCATCACATTAGTGTACCCGTAAAGCCAGAGAATCAGGCATAACACAGCAAGTACCTGAATGAAAGTGGCCAGTAAGACACAGCTCATCTCTTGCTCCAGAATGATCTTGTTCTGACTGTTGTTGTAACAAGCAGCAATAAGCGAGGGGAACAGCACTTTGATCAGCCGTGGGTCACTGAAATACTGGAAGGGCAACTGGCAGAGCTTCTGCAGCACTGTCGGGTGGCGGCCAGACTGCACGATTACCTGAAATGGAGGAGAAACCCAAGTCAGCTGCCAAAAAGCCTGTGCCTGCCCCTCACCCCCTGCACTTTGCTGGTCAGAACCATGGAGAACATGCCCAAGGAGTGTGAAGACTCCTAGCTCCTCGCCAGAGCTTACCTTAAGTGATATTTGGAAAAAGCAGAAAATTTAAAAAAACCTCATTTCCCAACTTAAGGAAAAGATCCTGAAAGTTCTACAGCTATTTAAAAATTATTATAACCCATGATGGGGGGTGGCGAGAGCTACCATGGAGAAAGGACACCTATGAAATGGGTTCAGAATACACAGGGCTTTACCAAGGCGCTCCCCATGCTCCTGAAAGCGGAGCAGTCCCACTCCTTCAAGCCACAAAAAGCTCACTCAGAGGAAACCTAACACAGTCCCCTCTGGCCCTGCCTACTGCAGTCTTCCCTTAACCTAGCTCATGGAACACGTGAATGCAGACAGATCTATTCTGTATGCAGATAGGTCCTAGAAAGAAAAGGGGATTGTAAGGAGAGTGGGAACAGTTTCAGCAAGTACAGGCTCCCAAAGATCCTTCCTCCAATCCACACTCCTTATCACTGCTTCCATCAGTGCCATTGAGTCTAAAAGGAGAATTGTTTAGATAAATGAGACTGTTGTCTTGAAGCAGTCTAGGTTTACAACTGTGTATATTTAAAGAAATAGAGCAATGCAATTAATGGGCTTGCAGGGAGCCCTCTTAATTTACTCCTTAGGCCTACATGATAAACTAAGAAATGTCAAAATCAGATCTGTTTCAAGTAACATTGATCAGACAGTTCTAATATGAAAGAGCCAGGTGACCCAAAGCCCACGTTGTGGTATAGGAGGCAGTTCCTAGAAGGTTAGGAACACTGTAAAACCTAAGGTCAGGACTGTAAATTGTACTTGGAAAAACACAATTTTACAGGTACACACCCAGACAGGACTGCATTCAAATTAAAACCAGAAGGACAGAATGAAACAGCAGAGGCAGGAGAAACATAAATTACAGGGATTTACAAGTTTTCAAAGTACTTTTAACAATACTTTAAGAACACACTCTCAGATGATAATGCAGTTTGGTTTAAGAACAAAATCAACAAAGTAATAGTTCACATATTTTCGTTCAATAGCTAAATGACATCAAAAACTTTTAGAGAATGTTGATAGGTACTTGTTAATACCTTCAAATCCTGAAGGAATTTTAAAGACTCACACTGTGCGACAATTCTGCATATGGCTATGTGCTGCCATTTCTGACACTGGATGAGAAGAATATGCCCTATCATTTACTTTATGGATAAAGCATTTACTTAAATCTTTAATTATTAGTTACAAATTTTGTAACACAGCCAAATGGTCACCACTTTAGAATTTATGATGATACAGTTATTAGAAGTCTTTTTTCCCCTCTTTGTAGAAAATTAGGAACTTCATTGTTAAAATGCTATTAATGTAAGATTTGCTAATTGAAAAGGTATTAAACTGGCCAGTGTGGCTGGTAGAGGCACAATGCTAACTCAAAGACAACTCTTGGTTCCTGGTAACTTAGCACAGAACATGAATGTTTAACCAGAACCTACTCCATTTGGACTCCTGATCCTCACTGGGGTGAAGTAGGTACAGAGCTCTCACTTCTCAAAGAACAGAGCTGCCTGCCTGCTCATAGAGTGGGTTTATAGAGATCACCTCTGTGTAGTGATAACTTACCAAAGGCCATTACTTTTAAGTCCCTGGACCGCAGAAGATGTGACTGTAAGCAGGCAGCTTGGTTACCTTGGGCTAGGAGTTCTACCTGTAGGCGCACCCATGACAGGACTTAACTAGGTTGCAGGTAAGGCATCTGTGAGGGCTGGTAAGAAGCCCCCAGCACCTTCCCCTACCAATGACTTGGTTGTTAGGTCAGAATGGGACATCTAGGCTGGATGTGATGGTTTATGTTGGTAACTGCAGCATTTTGGGAGGCCAAGGTCGGAGGACTGCTTGAACTCAGGAGTTTGAGACCAGCCTGGGCAACATAGCAAGACCTCATCTCCACAGGAAAAATAAATAAATAAAAGCCAGGTGTGGTGGCATACACCTGTAGTCCCAGCTACTCAGGAGGCTGAGGTGGAAGCATCACCTGAGCCTAGGAGGTAAAGGCTGCAGTGAGCCGTGATCATGCCACTGAACTCCAGCTTGGGCAACAGAGCAAGACCCCGACTCAAAAAAGGGGGGGGGGGGACACCTAGCCTGCACCGTCCTTGAAACTGTACTTCAGACATTGTGGAGAGGACCAGAAGATCCAGGAGGGCCAATCTGAAACACTAAGCCTCCGCGGACTAATTCAGGTGGGTTTGGAGGCCCAGAAGGGTGGCAGTCTGAAGTCATAAGCACAGCTGAACAGTCAGCTAAATGTGGCTAAGCACCTCCCTTTGGGGCAGGGAAGCAAGGCTGGGAATGTCAACAGCCTGACCTTGATGTTCAGGGTCTGAGTCCCAGGAGAGAGGTGTCTGAGGAGCTTTTTGACAGACAAGGGGATGAGGGCAGACCTTGCTTTTACTCCATCCAGCCATTTACTCCTAGACCTTAGGTGGTAAAAAGTCATCTTGGACTGCTCAATTTTCCCAAGTTAGTAGAAAATCAGTAGAGTCATCATGGGACACGAGAGTCTTGCTCAATGAACAAAATGTGCATAATTAAGGGACATCCCAGATTTACAATACAGTGTTCTCTATTTGCATTCCTGACGGAGCTGAAACTAAGTAACTGTTGGTCTATCACCTTTGTCCAGACAAAAGGCTGCCCACGAGTCTTTAGGTGGGCACCCTGAGCCTGCCAGGCCACCTGCCCCACCTTTCAGGGTGCACAGGCCAAAACAAACATAAAGCGGCATCCTACAGAGCCTCCTTCCAGAGGATTGCACCAACAGGAGAGAGTGGCCTAGTTGTCGATTTCTTTGGTGGCCACACTCATCAGCAGGAGAGAGCAAGCAGGGAGCACGTGTGGCCTCAGTAATGAGATGCAATCTTTCAAATACTTTGTCCACATTCAGATGCAGAGGAAGGCTCCAGGGAAGCCAAGGGAACTGCCAGCAACATTCAGATCAAAAGAGACTGCAATGGAACATTCGATGTGATTCTGATGTAGGTGCTCACTTAAGAGCTAGGAGTCCTGCCTGTATTCTGTTCTCCAGATAGCTGTCCAATGACCCTGGGCAAGTTGCTTGTTTTCTCTAAGTTTTAAGGTGGTATATTTTTTAAAAAGTAAACTTTTTATTGAAGTATAACACCTCCCCCACGGTCACCCACCTGCCTCCCTTGTGAATAGCTCAATTTTCACAAAGTGAATATACCAAAGTCACCAAGTACCCAAATAAAGAGAACATGACCAAGAATGCTAGATCTTTATATTCTTTCTCACAAAAATTAGACTCTGACATTTTGAATTTAAGATAAGTAATACGGAAACTCTCTAGCTGTGTAGAACACAAGAGAGAATACTCCAAGGCTTGCCTAGAGCCAATCCTGATCATTCTCTGGAGAGAAGATCACGGGCACATGGGTTCCTCTTCTAGTCTTCTTCTAAGTAGAGGTTGGTAGGCATAATTCCACAGCCCCTCAGGAAGGGCATCTTTTATCTGAATGCCCTGGGTAAAAGATATAATATCACTGGTCAGGGGCTGGAAGAGGGAGAGAGGGAAAGACCCCTGTGACTACTCTCTTTTCTTTCTGAACTCTCAACAGTTCTGGAAGTAGTGACTTTGGAAAAAGGAAAGTTGCCACAAAGAAATGATAAGTGTTTAAGGTGATGGATGCAGTAACTACCCTGGTTTGATCATTGAACAATGTATACATGCACTGAAACATCACACTGTACCCCCAAAATATGTATAATCATATGTCAATTATACATAAAAATTAATTACAAAGAAAAAGGAAAATTGCATGCTGGCTGTGGGTGCTATAGCATGGTGGAAAGAGGGTCAGAAAGATCTGGATCCTTAGAATAAAAAAGAATCTGGTAAAAAAATAAATCTGGAGTAGACAAGTGGACATGCTGATTCTTTCACTGCTGCTGACACCTGGCCACTCACTAGGCCTCTGGTTCCAATCTCTGGTTTCCCACAAAGTGAGGTATAAATGCCATCTTGATGCTATAGGATCACAAAGATAATAAAGAAGTTCTCCCCTAAACACACAAGTGAAGACTCAACATGCTGGGAAGGGATCGCACTTTGGCTTCAGGGAGATGGAGCACATGACAGTGATAGGAAGGAGCCTGGGCAGGGTGTGGTGTACCAGGATCCCATGGAGGGAGATTCAGCTCTTCACTCAGGGAGGCTGCACTTTGGACCTAGAAGGCTGGGTCAGATCTGGGCATCTGGAAATCACAGATGGAGGAATTTTTGGTAAAGGTAAGAAAGTTGTGGATTCAATACCAGACTATCTTAATTGGCTTGGGCTGCTGTAACAAAATGCTATGGACTGGGTTGCTTAAACAACAAAAATTAGAGCCGGGCTTGGTGGCACAGCCTGTAATACCAGCACTTTGGAAGGCTGAGGTGAGTGGATTGCCTGAGCCCGTGGGTTTGAGACCTGTCTGGGCAACTTGGCAAGACCTCATCTCTACAATAAATCAAAAATTAGCCGGGTGTGGTAGTGTGTACCTGTAGTTCCAGCTATTTGGAAGGCTGAGGCGGAAGGATTGCTGGAGCCCAGCAGGTCGAGGCTGCAGTGGCTGGGAGCGGCCACTGCGCTCTAGTATGGGTGACAGAGTGAGACTCCAATTCAAAAAAACAAAAAACAAAAAAAACCCCAACATAAATTAACCTCTCACGGTTCTAGGGCTGCAAGTCTGAGATCAGGGTACAAAGGCATGGGAGGGTTCCGATGAGGGTCTTCCTCCTAGTGTGTAGATGGCTGCCTTCTTGCTATGTGCTCACATGGTCTTTCCTTGGTGAAAACATTTGGAGAGAGAGATGTCTCCTTCTTCTGAGGCCATCAATCCTACTGGGT